ATCAGTACATTTTGCTTAAGCAATTTAGCGGAGGAACCTCTTTTCAGGATCGAAACAACAAACTGTGAAAAGGTGCCAAAAACTTGCAACCTTTCGACATTTGTCGCTTGCCTCCGACTTACAATTAAGGACATTCAACAGGAGGATGGCTGGTGGCCATTTTATAGAAGCTGTCACTTGTTTACACAAACTCTTGCAAACATGAATAGATAAGGCATACATATGAGTTCTATGCTATGCCTTTCACATTAATAGATCGAAGTATTTTAAATTTCAAGCAAAGGAAAGCAATTGGTATTAAAAGTAGAAAATACCTTTATTTTTCGTAAAATCGTCCAAAAAAACCGCATATTTTTGAGAAAAGTGTTCTGCAAACCTCACGAATTACATATGCAAAGCTGAATCCAAAGAGATCTACAGAAAAAAAGGGGAATACACAACAACAAGAGCAATATCCTATCATTAATCTTCTAAGAAGGATATGTCGGAGAAAAAATGAGTTGAGTGAGCTTAAATCAGAAGCTTTGATTTTTAAGAGGCAATTTTTTACTTGTTAGTTTGTTGTAATCAAAAACGGAGTTGTGTCAGAAAACCAAATAGAGGATAACCTTTTAAAATAAGAATCTCGGATTGCATTTGTTTGAACTTGAGAATATTAGAGAGGATTTGCTTTTAATGCAGAAATAACCGTAATAAGGGAGTGCTTGGAAAGGTGCTCCAATGTTAAATTAGTGCTTCTTGTTGGTCAAAGTTTCGGCATCTTAAATTCTTCTAAATAGTCTTTATGATTGTGTGGCTTGTAGAATATTCGCTGTGCGCATAGATTTCGGCAGCAGAATAGTTGGTTCCACTGAAAATTTCTTATAAATTTGTATTTCCTTGGCAAATAGCCTTAAATTTGTAAACACTAGCTAAAGGTATCTTTTTAAATCATAACCACATTATATTACATGAACCGTAATTTTTTTTGTGGCTGTATAAGCTGACTGCCTATAATCATGATCAGAGTTATTTTGTCATTTGTGAACACTATTACAAAGCACTGAAGCTTCACATACGTCCAATGAATCATGTTTTGATAGGAGGGTGCGAATTTGAAAAACTTCCAAGCAAAAAATGGGCTAGTTGCCAAGGTTTGCACGTGTCTCAATACTCCAGCGGCACAGAGAACACTTCATAAATAGCTCTATATGGTTCCTGCACTATTGAAGGAAATTTCTTGCCTCATAAGTATGTTAGTAGTGCCATATGTGCAAAGAAAACATAAATGTTTTTTTAAGTAGTATATTTTTATTGATACAACAAGTAACGTAACGA